TTCTATATTGCATACCTATGCTTACAGTGATAGCAGCCTGCATTCTAAGCATGAAGGCTCCATTGTTCTGCATGCCATACTGAGTGCAGGGTGATTATATAGTCTGTTGGCTTGCTAAAATAATAACATATCCTTTGCTAAAATGATGCGGTATTTCAGGTTTTTATATTTAAATACTGGTAACTGCATATTTGCGACATATTCTAATTTGGGTTGCAGCTTGCAGATCTGATATTAGAAAGAAGAGGGTTGGCTACACGCATCGTTGGGGCACATCTGATCTGTGAAGAGGTGCAGATTTTTTACAAAGCATTGGAAGTCATTGACGGCTGACTTATGACAGCGTGCGAAGTCTGAGTTGCCTGGGATCTGGCCTGGCCTTGCCACAGGCCTGGAGTTCAGGACGCCCTGGTTTTTTGCTTCCATCTTTGAAGCCAGTTCTCGCCGCAACCTTTGTCTTTGTTGCTATAGTCAAATAAGGCTCATAATATTTGCCTGTCTAATATTTACCTGGCTTCCTTTTTAAATTGCTTTGGCATATCATAGGAAAGCAAAGTGTTGTTGTTATGCAGATTGCTAATGAGCATGCGCTTATCACAGTATTATCATTTGTCATATGAAAATATTACCACGCATACTGTATTGAGTCAGCCACTCCCAGCCAGATTTCTGAATAATAGTTTCATAGTTTCATAGTTTCTAGGGTCGGAAGGGACCTGAGCAGATCATCTAGTCCGACCCCCTGCTATGGCAGGGAAGAGTACTGGGGTCAAACGACCCCAGTAAGGTGGTCATCCAACCTCCTCTTAAAAACCCCCAGGGTGGGAGCCTGCACCACCTCACTTGGAATAAATCCCGATGGATTTAGCGTGAACAGTATCGAAGAAGTCAGCTAATCCGCTGTTCTGCCCTGACAGCCCTTTGGAGTGTGGTTCCAGGAGAAAGCGGTGTGCCTCAGCAAACCTGCTCCCCGCTTCCATAAATTCATGAGCAGAGAGGCCATTCCCTGTGCTCGCATGTGGAAAGGGGCTCTGGCTTTTTACTGACTGCTGGAAGGAGAAATGTGGCCAGAATTTGGTGTAACGTTCACCAATAGAAAAATGGGTTTAATATAGAGCTGGTGCAGTGAGTTGTCAACTACAGTGCCCACTCCCCTCCGTACACAGGTCGCTTCTCATATGGACCTGCAAGTATTGCCACCCGACATTTTAATTCTGCTCCCTACCCAGAATCAGTTTGCTTTCTCAAGCCCGTCAGTGGATCAAATGGAAACTGAAAAGAAAGACTCTTTGCAGCTGGGGATGTCACAGAAAACAGCCAGAGGATGCGTCTGAACATAGCTTTCATCTTCTGCCACGGAAGCGATGCAGGAGGCCGCAGCACCTACCCGAGCCCTCGTGTAGACGGGCGCAGCTGAAATGAAGCAGAGCAGCGTCACCTTTGGCTGCGAGGTCCTGTCTACACTGGGGCTATACGTACTGTTCAAACTACAAGGCAAATGCTCAGTGCTTACCCTGTGCAGCTGAGGCATGCTGGACGTTTGCCTGGGTGTAGCGACAGTAGTACAAATAGACACACTTTATGATTAATTAAGAACTGAGGAAGGCTCGTGATCCAAGTTCAAGACCCCCCGCCATCCATGGATTGTACAACCCATAGCCATAAAACACAAACAGCAAGACCCGCCCAGCGCAGAGCCAGCCAGCCGGCAAACCCACACCCCCAAAACCCCGTTCCTACACTTTCCAAAGGAAACACCACCCCCTTGATGCCTCCCCAGTGATCTATTATTTTAAAAAATGTGCTTTGCAGCGTGTCCTAAAGGTCAATACATTTGGGCTGATCTGGACTGGGGCAGAAGTCAGATCCAAAGTCAAAGGGTTTGTTTACCCAAGAACTTAAACTGGTGCAAACCTCTGAGTGGACATACTTGTGCTAGTTTAAAAAGAGATTACAGCACAGAGAGACTAAACGGCCAGGGGGCAGAGTTAAGTCAGCTAAGAGCACCTCCACCACACTGCATTGATTTAACAAAACCGGTTTAAAAATCACACCTTTAGCTAAGCTAGCGAAACTCTGTTTAGGCCAGGTCTTGAGGAGCAATCATATATGTGACTATATATATTACAGATCTATTGAATGGATACTTGCAGATCCATATTCGAAATCTTATACATATGATTATATGAGCTATATATATCTATATGATATTCTGTGATTCTATGATTATGATTCTATGATTCTATGATGGGAATGGCCACAAGAGAAGAGAAGGCTGAGGAGGGACCTGGTGACAGTCTATAAACTCACTAGGGGGGACCAGAAGGGTTTGGTGGAGACGCTGTTTCCCTTAGCACCCCCTGGCATGACAAGGAACAATGGACACAATTAGAGAGTAGGTTTAGATTAGACATCCGCAAGAACTACTTCACAGTCAGGGCGGCTAGGAGCTGGAACCAACTTCCTAGGGAAGTGGTGCTGGCTCCTACCCTGGGGGTCTTTAAGAAGAGGCTGGATGCCTACCTGGCTGGACTCATTTGAGTCCAGTCTTTTTTCCCACCCAGGCTGGGGGTCGGACTTGAAGATCTACAAGGTCCCTTCCAACCCGACTTCTATGATATGGATAGCTATAGATATATATCTACATATAGCTTATATAATCATACGTATAAGATATATCTATATCTCCATCTGTAAGATTTCTCAAGAAATATACATATATATCTTATATATATATATTATATATATATATATCTTATATCATATATCAGAGTCTTCTTTCATATGGCTGACTCAGAGCAATGATTATAAGTCCAATTTAAGGTTTAGAGGGCAGAGTGTTGTTCTGTGGTCCGTGGTTTGATCAGGATTGCCCCCGGGGTGGAAGATGACAGCCTGCTCGTGGCTCACTCTGCTACGTGGGAATCAAAAGCAGGAAAATCCACAACTAAGGTCATCACAACAGCGACCGAATGCCTGATGGCCTCCCGGTCAAGGGAGCAACAACCATATATAAGAGTGACTCCACCTATATGTGTGTGTGTGTGGGGGGGGAAGGTGTGTGTACACACACACACACGTGCATGTAAGCGTGATGTTGGAGAGAGTTGGTAAGAAAATGGAGGAAGAAGGAAGTTGCTGAACATTTTAATTCCCTCCATGGGCTTTTTTTTTTTTGATTTGAAATGTCATTGTTATTCTTTTCCTGACTGGTTCAGCTCACTGGTTGAGATACGGGGAGCAATGGTGGACATATTTATTTGGTATTTATTACTGATATTTTCCAACTCCCCCTATACCAGCTGATCAGCTCATTTTTCATTTTCCTTATCTCTGATCAGTCGAGCCAAATTCCTAGAGGGTTCTTTCACGAGGCACATGTGTGTCGAAAATGCCCCCGTTCTTGGTTGCAAAATGGCCCTGTTTTGCTCTGAGAGGCTGAGCAGGGAAAGGGGAATTGAACACACAAAAGCATGGCAAGATGCTACACGGGGAAGTATTTTACTAGCTGCACTGCAGTAAAAAAATTTGGCAAGATTTGCCTGTTCTTGTGTTCCCAAAGAGTGACCTTTCATCCCTCCCTAGTGCTGTTAGGAGTTACGCTGGCAGCGTCGCTCAGGCAGGTGCTTGCTCCCACTCATCTCAGAGCAGCAACCTCTGCCCCGGGTTTGAAACACCGCAGACTCGACACAGCAAAGACAAAATTTAATAAGCAGCAGGTCTGCAGCGTCGGAAACCTCCTCCCCAAGGGGTTGGCCACCAATTCCAATTAAATTCAGCGTGATGGAGAACTCGTCGTCACGGCCGTCAGCAATCCCTCCATTCGAGGACCATCTCTACCACGGCTCACTGACGAGTCTTGGGGCGACGCGAAATCCTCCAGCAAAAGTTACAGGGGAGAGCGGGCCGAGGCTGGGATTTCTCTCCTTTTCCTGCCCCGGTCTCTCTTCAGCAGAGTCGGCGGCAGGCAGCTCCTCCCCGCTCTTGACCTCCAGGGTCGCCCGCCCGGAGCAGCGCGCTGGTTTTGGGGGTAGAGAGGGGCGCCCGCCACCACAGAGGGCACTCTGGTTGTCCTCCATTTCCCCAGGCTTCCTCTACGGCAAAACCTGACACGTTTATGTCACCTTCTATTTGTCTCTTGAAAAGAAAACCGGGTTCTTCCTTCGGGGGGAAACAGGCCCTCGAGGCGCGGGGGTCGGTGTCACCACAGGACAAGTGGTCAGCCCATCACGGTGGACAGTCATTTCCCCGAGAAAAACCCAGCTATTTTCCTGTGTGGAGAAGAAAGCCGTGCTCTCTTTCCTCAGGAGGACCCGAGGCGCGGGGGCCTCCGCGCTGCCGCCGCCGCCTCCCGCGGGCGCGGGCTCGGGGAAGGGGCGGGCCG